CTCTGCCTCTCTGCCTCCCTGGGTGCTGAGATTACAGCCTGCACCACCACTGCTGGCTCTTAATATCTTTTATTATAGGGAGCTACTTCAGCACCTCACACATGGTCAACAAAACACCCTGCCACCAGAGGGCCCCAGTCCTATCCTTCTCCAATATCGTGGATGCTATAGTCACCTTCAAATTAAAGCCTTTAAGTTAATTCCTAGCCAGGTAGACTGGAATGGCAACTTTCTTGATTCTGAAACAGACTCACATACTCAGCCTGGTGGCGCTGTACTTTCAGAGTGACCAAGGAGATCAGGTCTGTCTTAAGAGTTCAGTTATAAAAAGAGATCACAAGATTATTATAAGAATCGAGGTGTGAGAGGCAGGCGGATCTCTGAGAGTTCGAGTCCAGCCGGGACTACAAACTAAGTTTACAGGACAGTCAGGGATACACAGAGAAACTCTGCCTTGAAAAAAAAAAAAAAACAAAAACAAAAAAAAGGAAAGGAAGAGAGGGAAGGAGAGAGGAGATATGGAGAGGGAGGAGAGAGGGAGAGAGGGAGGGGGAGAGAAAGAGGGAGGGAGAGAGGGAGGGGAGAGAGACAGAGAAGAAAGAGAAAATAAAAGACAAAGCCCAGGAGCAAACGGAACTGGGAAGGAGGTGCCGAGAGCCTTGAGCAACCTGGGGGAAGTCCTTGGGGACCTGAGAGGTCGCCTGGGGACAGCCCACTCATCATGAAAGGCCGTATCTTCCCCTCCGGATGTGAGAAACAGGCAGCCCTGATTTGTTTTGAAACAGGAAATGAAATTAAGGTGCTGTGATCAAAATAATCCACACTAACCTCGCGCTCATGAATATTCAGCAATCTCCTTAGGCTAGCGGCACCGCCCCCTTACCGCCGTAGAGAGAGTGCGCATGCGCGTCAGGAGCGCTTCCCTGCTCTGGGAGTGCGCGTGCGCGGCTGGCGCGCCCTTCTGTCGTCATCAAGACGAGTGGCTGCCGGCAGCATTCGTAAAGAAGCAGGAAAGCTGCTATGGCGAGTCCTGCTGCCACTTCTGTGAGACCGCCCAGGCCCAAGAAAGAGCCGCAGACGCTCGTCATCCCCAAGAATGCGGCCGAGGAGCAGAAGCTCAAGCTGGAGCGGCTCATGAAGAATCCGGTGAGTGGGAGTGGGCCCTACGAGCCCCTTCACCCCGCCGCCAGACTGGGGAACGCTATACTCAGTACCCCTAGAGCAGGCCTGGGACGGAGAAGGCTGCCGTGTAGAGGGAGCTTCGCTCCTGTGCTTGTCTGATAGCGCAGCTGCATGAAGGCGCTGTCCAGGCCTCTACACCCTCCTTTTTTTTTTTTTTAGTTTTCTCTTTGCAGTATTGTAGGGTTGCCCGTGCTATCCACGCTCCTGACTGAATCGGCTCTGTAGTATAGGCAGAACTCGTATCTGGGGTCCTCCTGCCTTATCTTCCCAACTAGTTAGGATAACAGCTCTGCGCTACTATTCAGTATTGCTTCACAGCCCTTTCTATTTTAACTTTAATATGAACCAAAGCAGTGGGAGCTGGGCATGGTGGTGCACACCTGCGATCCCAGCACTCTAATGGTTTACACCAGAAGTTTGCTACAAAATTCGAGGCAAGCGTGGTCTACATAGTGAGTTTCAGATCAGCTAGACAGTGAGACCTATCTCAGAAACTAACAAAAACCAGAATCGATGCCTTAGCAAAAGTGTTCAATTTCTCCAAATAGTACCCATTATTAAAGAGGCATTGGACGCCAAATTTGGACCACATCACTCTTTACCTCTCAACTGGCCCCATAAACACAACTCATATCTTTGACTAAAAGAGGTTGGGCACCTCACAGTGATGTAGATTCCAGACTTGTGTAGCAAAGGAGAGCTTTGGCCCACTTGGTATACAGGATGAAGTTAAGCCAGGGCAGCAGACCATTCAGTCAGCCCCAGATTTGAGAAGCCTGCTCATTTGAGAGAGTCATAAGAGATGTAGGTTCCTCAGCAAACTTACGTTTATAGACGCTCTTCTGTTGCAGGACAAAGCAGTTCCAATTCCAGAGAAAATGAATGAATGGGCTCCTCGACCTCCTCCAGAATTTGTCCGAGATGTCATGGGTAATGTCTCTTATGGGTGTGTGTGGGGAAGGAGGGTAGAATTTTTTGAGGGGAAATATAAAACACTATTGTCTTTGCTTGTCAACTAGATCTTTGATAGGAAAAATATTTTGTCTTTATGGTGGAGGAGTGCTGTGTTTTCTGGTTTAGCACTAGATAATGGTGTCCCAGTTACTCTTTTGGTTTGGTTTGGTTTCTTGTGGTTAAACCATTTTATTCAGAGGCTTAAAAAGCTGGTAAAGGGCCACATGATCAGGCAAACAGACTAGTCAGGGGAGATCTTCCAGGCCCCCTCTACGCTAAAGATGTTTATATATTTTTGAGGTAGGGTTTCACCTGTGATCCAGGCTTGCTTGAACTCGTCCTCCCCATGCCTCTCTCTCCTAAGTGCAAGCATCAGACGCTATCACCAGTGCTCCTGTTGCTGTGAGGAAGCACCATGACCAACAGCAAGCTGGGGAGGAAAGGGTTTATTCGGCTTACACTTCCACATCATAGTCCATCATTAGAGGCAGTCAGGGCAGGAACTCAAACAGGTCAGGGACCTGGAGGCAGGAGCTGATGCAGAGGCCATAGGGGGTATTCATACTGGCTTGCTCAGTCTGCTTTCTTATAGAACCCAGGACCACCAGCCCAGGGATGGCCCCACCTGGGCTGGGCCCTCCCCCACCACTCACTAGTTAAGAAGATGCTCTACAGGCAGATCCCCTGGAGGCAGCTTCTCAGTTAAGGGTCCCTCCTTTGAAATAACTTTAGCTGTGTCAAGTTGACATAAAACTAGCCAGCAGAACCATTGTACCTGATTTTCTCATTCTTTGAAATTATGCTTTTTAAAGATTTTTAAAGATTTATTTGTGCGTGCTTGTGCACATGCACGTGTGCACACTGTGGTGCCTGTGTGGAGGTCAGAGGTCAGAGGAGTTGGCTCTCTTTTTCTACCCTGTAGGTTCCAGTATGGAACTCAGTTTGCCCAGCTTGGCAGCAAGTGCCTTTACCCACTGAGCCATCTCACCAGCCTCCAGGTGTAATTTTTTCTAAGTGAAAACACATTTATTACGGAGATTTAGGTTAACACATACTAAGTAGAAGCAAGTAGTGTAGAGGTTCAGAGATAGAGAGCTGGGCTGATGAGCTGGCTCAGCAGGTAAAAATGCTTGCCACCAAACCTGACGCCCAGAGTTCGATCCCTTGGGTCCAAGTGGTAAGAGAGAACTAACTCCTGCTGGTTGTCCGTGACCTCCGTATTCATGTTGTGGTTCTTATTTCCTGCTCTACAAATAAACAGATGTGTAAATGTCACTTTTGAAAAAAGGTCAGGCATAGTGTGTACACTTGAATACAATCTCTTAGAAGCTAGGGCAGTGGATCTCTTGGTTTGAGGCCTTTTTGATCTATATAGAGAGTTCTAGGCCAGCTAGCCAGTCCCTATTTCAATAAAAGGTAAGACTGGAAAGATCAGTTAGCAGTTAAGAGTGTGTACTTGCAGAGAACGCTAGTCTAATTCATATTGGCCAGCTGATAGGCAGTTACGGCTGCCTGTAACTGGAGCTCTGGAGCATCCAGAACCTCTTCTGGACTCCGTGGTTCTCCATGATCACCTGCATTCATGCACAAACCCACAGGCAGACACACATGAAACCTACTTTTAAAAAGAGCCACCTGCTGGGTGGCAATTGCACATGCTTTAACTAACCCCAGTACTCAGAAAGCTGAGGCAGGCAGGTCTCTGTGAGTTTGAGTCTGCAGAGCAAATTCCAGGACAGCCAGTGCTACACAGAGATCTGTCTTGAGAAACCTAAATAAAGAAATAAACAAACACTCACTTGACATTCCGTCATTCCACAAGAAACATTCTAATACAACCTTCTGACCCTCTCTACAGTCAAAGCTGTTCGTTCAAGGAAAACTATTGCTGCCCACTGCTTTTCACCTGCAGTGTCAGAGTTTGCCAGCTGTTAGGAATCTAGCAGGTCACTTGTGAGGTCATGGCGCACTGCTGAGAGTCTCTACACTGAAGTCTGCTCCTCTTGTGATCGCTGTCACATACAACAGAAGTTCCCTTTTGCTTTGAGCCAAGGGTTTGCTGTGTAGCTCAAGTCGGCCCTGAACTCTCAGTCCTCCTGCCTCAGCCTCTCTCTCAGTGCTAGGACAGTAGACCTGTAGCAGTCCCACCACTGCTAGGTTAGGCTGTTTCAGTAACTTCACAGTCAGTACTCCTACATCTCATCTAACACCATTTCATCTACATCTCACCTATGATGTGCCCCCTGTCCTTGCTACAGTACGAGCAGGCTCTTTACCCAGCGCGTGTAGTGCCTCCCCTTAGAGCTCTTGTCTGATGTGCCCCCTGTCCTTGCTACAGTACAAGCAGGGTCTTTACCCAGCGCATGTAGTGCCTCCCCTTAGAGCTCCTGTCTAGTCTCTTTGGGTTAGGTGCAGCTTGTATTGGTGACTGCATTCATCTTTTTCCCCTACCTCCTCTTTTGTAGTCTTGGAGAGTAAACTCAGTGTGCTCTATCCCTCGGCTTTCTCACCGAGTCTCATCTAGAACTCTGGACTGTTCTGGCTGTAGGTTCCAGTGCCGGGGCTGGCAGTGGAGAGTTCCATGTGTATAGGCACCTACGGCGGAGAGAGTACCAGCGGCAGGACTACATGGATGCCATGGCTGAAAAGGTGCGTGAGCCGTGGAACCTAGTGACTGTGGGTCAGGCTTGACACTGCAGGCCCTTCGCACTAGAAGAGTGAAGTGTAGGACTTTCCTTGTGTATGGAAGGACACTGCAGGGTCCCTCCTCTCTCTAGGCCATTTGCCATGTAAAGGGACAGCAAGTGGGGGCTTCCACACAGTTGGAGATTTCCTCTTCTCTTTTCTCTTTTGGACTGAATGCAATCCACTGTGGTTGGTGTAAATAGTGTTGCGTGTTCAGTGTCTGCTCCCAGAGGATTTGAGTTTTCTTGGTGCTTACATTTTTTTCATGTCAGGTGACAAATAATGTATTATTTTAATAAGAGTTTAAGAACCATTAAGAGTGCCAGGTACAGCCAGGCAGAGGTGGCACACATCTTTAATCCCAGGACTCTGGAGGCAAAGGCAGGTGGGTTTCTGAGTATGAAAACAGCCAGGGTTACACAGAGAAACTCTGTCTCAAAGAAACAAAAAGCTAACAAACCAGAGTGCCAGGTGTGGTGGTGCATGCCTTTAATCCCAGAACTCATGAGCAGAAGCAGGAGGATCTCTGTGAGTTCCTGGCCAGCCAGGGCTACTAACCAGAAACTCTGACTCAAGAAAGAAACAATAAACAAACAATGACCCATTGGGCGACTGGCATGTACCTGTATTCCCAGCTTCTCTGAAGGCTCAGGCTAGAGAATTTTTAGAGCCCAGGAGTTCAAGATCAGCCTGGGCTACATAGTAAAATCTTGTCTCAAAACCATAACAGGAGGATGGCTGAGACAGGGCTCAAAAAAGTGCTTGTCCTGCAAGACCAGGGCCTGACCTCAGTCTCTAAAACCCAGATGAGCATGGGGAAAGCAGCTAGGTGTGCTGGTGTGTACTTATCACCCCATCACTGAGGAGAGGGATTCAGGCGGGTGCTTGAGCATGACGTACCGCCAGCCTATCCCTCAGGTCCCAACAATCAAGGCAAATGGCTTCCTAGGAGTGACACCTGAGGTTGACCTCTGGCTTTCAAGTCATGTGCACACGTGTGCTCTCACATACATGCCATGTTCATTCTCATGCACACATGCACACACACATAAACACACGTGAAGCTGGTAAGCAGGTGCCGTGGGTGTGGCTTGATGGTAAAGCTCTTGCCAGCATGTATGAGGGCTTGAATTTAGTCCTCAACCCTGCAAAGTCACAGAGAACCAGAGAGAGCAGAACGTCAGTGAGCATTCTGGGTTTGCTTTGTCTGTGGCTGTGGTCTCACTGAGCTGCCATCACCAGGCTGAAGCTGGGGCTTCAAGCTCTTCTGTCTACTCTTCTTTAGCCGTATGAGCACCAAGATTACAGATTACAGACCATCTCTTACGTGGGTTCTGTAGGCCCAAACTCATGTCCTTACATTTCATGGTGTTTCAAGAATTTTTGAGTTAGAGGGGACTAGGCAATATCTAGCCCCTCCCTCCAAGATCCCAATAACAAACTAAAGTTCTCCCTGGGAAACCAGTGAATTCCTAGTGCTTACTTTCAGAGCTTGGTGGGGGTTTCTGATGGGAACATGGGGGACCCAAAGGCACACTGAAAGTCTTTGTCCAGCATGAAAGTTGGTTTCCCCATAGCAGCAGCAGAGAGAGGGCCTCTTTTTCCTAGTCTTTCCCAGCCTATATCCTCCAGCCTCTCCGCAAGACCCCAAGCTTCTGTGCAGTTATGGCAGAACTGCATAAACTGGGTACTCAGGTGACGGTCCTATGATCCTCCTGTCCCCTCTCTCTCTGAGTGAACGGGCCCAGCTGTGGTGATCTTTTACATGCAGGCACAGATGAATCAGGGATGATGGCTGGTTGGCCTGGAGGACAGTGCTTTACCGCACACACATTACAAGTGCTTGGCCACTGAGCCACCTCCCCGTCCTTATCATCCTGCGTCTTTAATGACTTACTCCTGGGCTGCAGTCCTCCAGTCCTTTCTGCTGAGCGCTGGTTAGTGGCTCCCATGCGGGGCCTCAGAGCTGCCCGACCTCTCAAGAGTCTCCTGGCTCACTCTCATTCCTATTCGTTCTCTCCCTTCCTCCCCTACCCCTCGTTCCCTCTCCCTCCCTCTCCCTCTTTTTCCCTCTCCCTGTTTCCTCTCTGTCCTTGTCTTGCTTTCTCCTCTCCCCATTTACTAAGTGCACCCACACCAGCTCCCACCCTAGTTTCTCTTGCAGGCTTCATCTTACTTAAGTGCTGGCTCCGTCAACAGTGTTATTTTGCCATCTAGAGCTGTGCATTGATTACCTGTCCTGCCTGGGGCAATCTTTTAAGGTTAAAGTGGCTCTGGGGACCTGGGTGGTACGTGGCACCCCTAGTGGTGTGCCTGTGGAATTTGAACTCTTAAACTTCTTAAAGCCTATCCAGCCCAGGGTGGATCTGAGTGATGGGCAGTGGTTTGTTTTTGTTTTTTTCTCCAGCAAAAACTGGATGCAGAGTTTCAGAAGAGACTAGAAAAGAATAAAATTGCTGCAGAGGAGCAGACTGCGAAGCGCCGGAAAAAGCGGTAAGAGCTTTGTCCTGGTATCACTGAAGCCTGCAGGCTGGAACTGGGAAAGTGGAAAATGAACCAGGTCCTTATAGGCAGACGTTCACTAGCAACTGCTGCTAGGGTAAGGGCATGCAGTCCTAGATAGATACTAGGTGGGTCAAGGCAGGATGGTTTGAGCCAGGAGTTCAATCCCCAGAACCTATATGATTCTTAAAAGCTCTCCTCAAGATGGACATGGTGGCACATCCCTTTAACCCCTGCAGGGCAGAAGCGGGAGGAAGTCTCTGAATTTGAGGCTAGCCTGGTCTACAGAGTGAGTTCCAGGAGAGCCAGGGCTACACAGAGAAACCCTATCTTGGGGGGGGGGGCAGAAAGAAAGACAGACGGAAGGAAAATAGACTAGTGGCTAGTAAGATGCCTCAGCAGTCAAGGGTGTTTGCTACTTAATCCTGAGGACCAGAGTTCAGATCCCAGAGTCTGTTCAACCATCAGGCGTCCTGCAAGTGCCAGTCACTACAGCTCCAAGGAATCGGATGCTCTCTTTTTGCTTCTGCGTGTATACAAGTGCATGCATCCTCACACTCACATGCATACACACACACACAAGTTACATGAGAAGTTTTGTTAAAAGTGTTTCATGGGTACTGGACAGATGGCTCAGCAGTTAAGAGCACTGACTGCTCTTCCATAGGTCCTGAGTTCAAATCCCAGCAACCACATGGTGGCTCACAGCCATCTGTACTGGGATCTGATGCCCTCTTCTGCTGTGTCTGAAGACAGTGACAGTGTACTCATATGCGCCTGTGTGTGTGTGTGTGTGTGTGTGTGTGTGTGTGTGTGCGTATGTGTATGCATATGCATATATAAAATAAGTAAATCTTAAAAAGAAGTTTTATAAAACCAACGTTAAGATGTAGAAAGGAAACCTAGACTGAGGAGAGATGAGCACAAGCCTGAGCTACACAGCAAGACTGTCAGACAGGCAGACAGAGGCA